ACCCATATAAGCCATTACCAATCTCTGTAGTGTTGCTGATTGTTCTAGTTGGGTTGTCTTATTATTGGGTTTTGTTTTGTTTTGGTGGATGGTGTTGGTTGGTTTGATGTCTTATAGTGTTGGTTTGACTGCTGAGTTGCTCTGTTGTGGATTGGTTTTGTGTTGTTGGCTGGTGGCTTGTGGGGACTTGATTTTTCTTATGCAGCTGTTTTTTCCTTCGTGTCTTGATGTTTCGTGCGAATTGCTTTTGGTTGTAATTCTTTGGAGCTTTCGGATTTGGGAAACCGCTAGTCGGTGACTGGCTTTTCTATTGTATTGCCTTCTCCAGTTTCTTTTAACTTTATTGGGTGTTTCTTCCTTTGTTTTATTCTAATTGTTTGTATTAGAAAAAACCATTAGCTCATATGTTTTATTTCAAATGTTGTATTTTAGAGAGCTTTTTGTTCTTTAAGAGCCTGTGTTTTTATGTTTATGGAATGTGTAGGCCCTCTCCGTGGGGTTTTTATATAGAAAAAAGTCATTACCAATCACTGTCTAGTTTTTTGTAAAATTTCACCATCGTGTTATAATCAAATTTTAAGATTTTTTGCATTTGGTAATAAAAAAATAAGGTTTATTTGAGACGGCTGCAGTGTTTTATATATAAAATTAATTATAAAATTATAGTGAGAAAGAATTTTTTAAATTCGGGTTGCAAAATACAAATTTTCATCACAATTTTTTTTTTTTTTTTTAGAAAAACAGCAATACAACAATAAATAGTTTCCTAACAAAATTGTTATTACTGTCTTAAAATAAAGCAGTGAGAAATTATCTCAAAATAGTCAAAATAGACCCTTAAGCTGGTATTTGATTTGCAGTTCATATAGAATTATAAAAGAAATCATTTTATATAGATTAATTATATATCTGAATGCTGATTTTCTCTTTGCTACTTTTTTTTTTCGCTACGAGTTATTAATCTTTTTCAAAAGTTAGAATAATTTTCTTATTACTTGCTAAATATATATATATTTTTTTAAAAAATATAATAATAAAATTTTAATACTAAAAAATATTTTTAAAAATAAAAAATATCCCAAATAAAACCTTAATCAAATAAATAGAAGATCTACTTAAACTATTTAGAAGATAATGATTAATTATTTTGTGATGACCCCGAAAGTCATCTGAAGACCAATCAAAATATACTGCTTGGTACTGCGGCTCGATGTTGATGATGTGACGTATTATGATTGATCTCTGAATGATGTTATGCATCCAATCTCCCCACGGAATAATTTCTTTCGGTTGTTGGGCTTACTAAGTGCCCGAGATTATTTTTAATTTAAAAAACGCACTTATTTAGCATGTTTTTTTACTGCTTTTATTCTTTTAAAATTCAAATTATTTTTAAAAATGCAGAATAGCTTTCAGTATTGTTAACAATTATCTCTAAGACAATCCCGGCCACCACTAACTGATGGCGACCGCCACTTTAACCAACTTAATAATTATTCAATAAAAATATATTTTAAAAATATTAAATATATTTTATTTCGCATCAAAATGTAAATAAAATAAAAAATAAATAAATAAAACTGACCCTAAACAACGAATTTTTATTAGGTCCAGACACCTGAAGTAGCTCTATATCCGGACGCCAAATAAAATGTCACCACGTGCTCTTACTCTTTACCGTGCGGCCCGACGACCCGATCCGGA